GGGCCTGCTTCCTGGTTCATAGCAGTCTTATCTCTGTGCACTCACATGGTGAAAGGGACAGGGAGTCTCTGGTTTCTGCCTTACAAGGGCACCAATCCCATTCATGCTTTTTATTTATTTGTGTATTCATTGTATGTTTTTTGGTTTGAGGTTACCATAAGGCTTGCAAATACTATTTTTTAACCCTTTATTTATTTATTTATTTATTTATTTATTTATTGAGACGGAGTCTCACTCTGTTGCCAAGCTGAAGTGCAGTAGCGCGATCTCATCTCACTGCAGCCTCCGCCTCTTGGGTTCAAGTGATTCTCCTGTCTCAGCCTCCCGAGTAGCTGGGACTACAGGCGCGCGCCACCATGCCCAGCTAATTTTTGTATTTTTAGTAGAGACAAGGTTTCGACATGTTGGTCAGGATGGTCTCAACCTCTTAACTTCATGATCTGCCCACCTCAGCCTCCCAAAGTGATAGGATTGCAGGCATGAGCCACCGCACCCGGCCGTAACCCGTATTTTAATCTGATAACAACACTGTTTGCATAAACAAACAAGCAAGCAAAAAGACAACTAATAAAAACTCTATGCCTTAACTTCATCCCCCCATTTTTAAACTTTTTTGTTGTTTTTATTTATATCTTATGTCTTGTAAAGTTGTCGTTGTTACTATTTTTGACTGGTGCATCATTTAGTCTTTCTACTTAGGATAAGAGTAGCTTACACACCAAAGCTACAGTATTATAATATTCTGTGTTTTTTTGTGTGCGTACTTACTATTGCCAGTGAGTTTTGTACCTTCATATGATTTCTTATTACTCATTAACTAACTTTTCTTTCTGGTTAAAGTACTCCCTTTAGCATTTCTTGTAGGACAGGTCTGGTGTTGATGATATCCCTTAGCTTTTGTTTGCCTGGGAGAATTTTTATTTCTCTGTCATGTTTGAAGGATATTTTTGCTAGATATGCTATTCCAGGGTAATGGTATTTTTTTCCTTTAGCACTTTAAATATGTCATGCTACTCTCTCCTGGCTTGTAAGGTTTCCACTGAACTAGTCATAAGGCATTAATTTATACTAAGGAAAGACAGCAAATTAATCACAGTTATAACATTCACTAGCTTAGTAGATTCATTTCAAGGTCATCTTTTTCAGACCTGAAGTTGCATTTATTGATCAAAAATCTTATATATCCCACTTAATTTTTCTGTAAACCGAAAACTGCTTGGAAAAAGTCTAACTAAAAACATACATAAACAAAATGCAATTTTATTCAAAGTGTTAAAAAACCACATAAATTTCAAGCTGTCGCTAGTATTTCAAAAGCCAATACCTGTAGTAAAAGACAGACTATAGTGATGATTGTAATCATTGTAGTAATCACACATGTGTAGAAGGCTATCCATGGCCTTACTCTGTCAAGGAAAGATAAGCACTTACATTAACAGACTAAAACAAACACAAAATGTATTAAAGTAAAACACTTCAGTGCAAAATGCAAAAATGTAAAAATGCAAGAAGTTTTTATCTGCATTCAATGCTGAGTTAGTTTTTTCTTATGTTTTAATACACGTTATCACCAAACCAAGCACAATATATCATTTTATTTGTCAATAAAATTCTTATGTAATTTATTTAAAGTAAAATTTAAATTATATCTTTTATTATAGTGGCTGAAGCTGGATGTTACTGATAATTATGTTTATGAATTTTATAACATAATATTTGATGAAAATAAAAACTTTAACTTCACATAATCTCTTTATGATATATCACACAAATATTACAAGTGATTTTCTAATTTTTTAAGGTTTCTCAAAAATGATTTGCATGTTTTTTAAAAATTGGGAAATACTAACTTCTGAGTTAGGAGTTTATTCCTTACTTTACGGTTGGGAAAACTGAGGTTCAAAGGGGTTGAACAGTTTGCACAAGGCCAAACAACTAATAGAAGGCAGATTCTAGATTCAAACCCAGGATTGTCTGATTCTACAATCCACGCTCCTAATCACCTTTCCTAGCATATTCCTGCGCTTACACAGTGGCAGTGAGAATTGGAAGACGAGATGTCTGAACAATGTTTTTTTGTTTTTTTGGTTTTTTTGAGGCAGGGTCTTGCTCTTGCCGCCCAGGCTTGAGTGCAATGGCACGATCTCAGTTCACTGCAACCTCCGCTTCCCGGGTTCAAGTGAATCTCCTGCCTCAGTCTTCTGAGTAGCTGGGACTTACAGGCACACGCCACCACACCCAGCTAATTTTTGTATTTTTAGTAGAGATGAGGTTTCACCATTTTGGCCAGGCTGGTCTCGAACTCCTGACCTCACGATCTGCCTGCCTTGGCCTCCCAAGGTGCTGGGATTACAGGCATGAACCAACGCACCTGGTCATTTGAACAATTTTTTAAAGACAAAATCAATAGGCAGCAGTGATAACTTGGATAGACAGAAGTTTTGATGAGTAAGGGTTAGAATTGATACTAAGTCTTCCAGCTAAGAGATTTAGGACACTGTAGCAACACTCCAGTAAAAATAAATAAGATGAGATTTTATTTAGGTGGGAAGTTGCTGAAATTAATTTTTGCCGAGTCACAGGTAACATTCAGACATAAATAGAGCTGTCACATAGACATTTGAAAATATAGAACTGGGGTGCTATTGAAAGTCAGTGCTGACAGTGGAGATTTGAACTTTATCAGCTAAAGGTAGTGGCTGAAACCAAAACAGTAGAAGGACACGGAAAGAGTGAGAACCTGGAGAGGGAAAAGAGTATGATCTAAGCCTTGGAAAACACCCCCATTTCAGGGATCTGAGGAGGAACAAATGTGAGCAGAGGACAAAACAACAAAATAAAAAATAAGAAGTTAAAGGAGAACCAGAGCCACACAGAATCATGAAAACTAAGAGATAGTACTGTGGCTAAAATGTATTGAGCACTTGCCATGAAACATACATGCTGTGTATTTTATATTATTTAATCTTCATAATAACTCAAGGAGGCAGGTTCGTGTATCTCTATTGACAGATAAGGACATAGAGGTTTAGCAAGATTAAATTATGTGCCTATCGTTCAGCTGGTAAGTCCTGGGGCAAAAAAAAACTGGAATCCTTGTCTCCCAGCCTCCCAAGTCCATTTTTTTTTTTTTATTATTATACTTTAGGTTCTAGGGTGCATGTGCATAACGTGCAGGTTTGTTACTTGTGCCATGTTGGTGTGCTGCACCCATCAACTTGTCAGCACCCATGAACTCGTCATTTACATCAGGTATAACTCCTAATGCAATCCCTCCCCCCTCCCCCCGGCCCCTCCCCGTGATAAGCCCCAGTGTGTGATGTTCCCCTTCCTGAGTCCAAGTGATCTCATTGTTCAGTTCCCACCTATGAGTGAGAACATGCGGTATTTGGTTTTCTGTTCTTGCGATAGTTTGCTGAGAATGATGGTTTCCAGCTGCATCCATGTCCCTACAAAGGACACAAACTCATCCTTTTTTATGGCTGCATAGTATTCCATGGTGTATATGTGCCACATTTTCTTAATCCAGTCTGTCACTGATGGACATTTGGGTTGATTATTGCAGCACTATTCACAATAGCAAAGACTTGGAATCAACCCAAGTCCATTTTTTAACTAGTGGTCTCCAGAGTGCACAAAGCAAACCACTGTGATATGGGAAAAAAATCATTAAAATTACAATGGTAGAATCCCATACTTTAAAGATTGTATTTTTGTGTATATTTTACAATGTGCATTCTGTACTAGTATAGTAATACATGCATATCATATGTACATGCATAATTAGTAAATTAATAAGTAATTGGGGGTATATGCTTAAAACATTTACTAATGTGAAGATGCAGTAAAACACTTTGGAGATTATTGCTTCAAACCACTATGCAAACTGTCTTTTTGCCTTCTCCTGTTCTCAGTTATAAGCTACATTCACCTCATATAGTCACGTTACGTTTTAAAATGCAATGCTAGTTCTAATTTAGTTACATAGAAACTTTTTACTTCATAGATTCTTTTCATGCCACTCCTCAGTATTTTCTGAAATTTATGAAGACCTTTGGGCCTTTCAGTACTTTGTGATAGTGAAAGGAATAGAGGCCTTAGACCAGACAGACTTGAGTTCAAATATTAACTTTTACTTTACTGACCATGTGATCTCAGACAAGTACTTTAATTTCTCAGAGCCTCAGTTTGCTCATCTATGAAATGGAGATAACATTTACTTTGCAGATTGTTGTAAAATTTAGCAATATCTTTTTTTTTTTTTTTTTTTTTTGAGACGGAGTCTTGCTCTGTCGCCCAGGCTAGAGTGCAATGACACGATCTTGGCTCACTGCAACCTCTGCCTCTCAGGTTCAAGTGATTCTCCTGCTTCAGTCTCCTGAGTAGCTGGGATTACAGGTGCGCACCACCACGCCCGGCTATTTTTTTTGTATTTTTAGTAGAGACGATTTCACCATGTTGGTCAGCCTGGTATCAAACACCTGATCCACCCACCTTGGCCTCCCAAAGTGCTGGGATTACAGGCATGAGCCACCACGCCCGGCCAGCAATATCTTAAGGAAATAGCATTGGTCCTGGCATACAGTAGATAATTTTTAAATGGTACCAAATAGTAATCATAGCAATAGTACTTATTTACTGTAGAGAACACCTATGGCCCAGTAGTTCCTCCCCTCTAAAATCAAGTCGCATATACAATATTTTTAGCAAAGTTTGGCTGAGACTGTTCTTAATTCAACTTGGAAACTTATTTGAGCATGTATAAAAAGTGTTGGCTACTACATATGGCCACATGAGTTAGGGAATGCTATTTACATGGACTACAGTGGGAAAGGCTGCTCCTAGCCTTGGGTAGAGCGGCAGCCCTGGAAATATACTGGCAAAAACATACAGGGCCAAATATATGGCAGCCTCCACAGAACAACAGGAAATGGATGCAGCTGCCCACATGCATTGGTTGGCATGTTGAATACCTCTCTGTTTGTTGATGCTCTCCACAGATCTGTACCCCCGACTTGGTGGTATTCCTGGCTTGTGCTAATCAGAGACTCAAAGAAAGATTACTGAAGCGTGCAGAACAGCAGGGCCGACCAGACGACAATGTAAAAGCTACCCAAAGGAGACTAATGAACTTCAAGCAGAACGCTGCTCCATTGGTTAAATACTTCCAGGAAAAGGGGCTCATCATGACAGTAAGTTAGCTCAAGTTTTACAAGTCCAATACAAGAACGCTCTTTCAGATCTCTCATTAGCCTATGTTCTCATGTAGAAATCCTCTTTACCTTAAAAAGTGGCTTTTTGGGGGTACAGAACCAAGGGAAAAAAAATGTATCATTTTGACCTGATTTGCCTTTTTAAGCCATAATGTTTTTTAAAAACATTCATTTTAATTTAATTGATTTTTATGAAAGAAGATAAATTTTAACCTTGACCAAAATTCTTTAGTCCTCAAGTAAAAAAATGTTTTAAAATAACTGTCTGGGTGATTGTAAGCGATATTTGTCCAGTCTCTCCACTCTTCTGTCTGTCTTTGGAAGCCTAACAAAATTGATAGACTTATAACCAGACAGTTGATGTGGGGTGATGATAGATTTAAGCGTTGTTTGTCATAATGTACTACATAAAGAAATGAGATTCTGACTTCACAGAAAAAGTTTCCTAAGGGTTTGACTTGTCATAAAGAAGTGATAATGTGTCAAAATGGGAGGTAGTCACCCTTCTGCTCCTTTGATGCAATGCAAATATTAATGTTTTCCTAAAATTTTAGTTTGTTTTGTGGCTGATGATATTCAGTGTGCCAATGAAAGATGACACTGAATCATTAGTTTGTACAGTTTTTAGAATCTAGAACATTAGAGGTGAAGGTTCAGCTAAATTTATGATCATCACAACATCAGATTCCAGTATGAAAGTGTGGAGGAGACAAAGAGGATAATGGGTCATCTGAAGAAAGCACTTTATGCAAGAAGACACTAAAACCACAGCAGCTCCTTGACAGCTGGATGGTGGCAGACCTTGGCAGAATCCTCCTCTCAGCCCTTGGACCCGGGCCAGTGGACCAAAGAGTTTTGTCTACTTGGGTTACAAGCCTCTGTAGAGAACCTAATCAAAGCGATCCATGCCCATTGCAATAAAAAGCACATAAAGACTTTTTTCCCACAAATGTTAGGTAAACCAGCTGAAGCCCATCCAGAGAGCTCCTGTGATCTTAACAATTTCTGGGTTAAAACTCTCTTCATTAGACTAGGATGCCCTCGGGCCTGAAAGAGACAGACATGACATTTGAAAAATAATTTCTTTGCAATCTTTTTGGCACCATAAAGAAATATTCAACATGATTTGCTCTTTGAGTCAAAGTTGTCATGTCGCAGAATTGTAAATCTGATCTGGAAATTGTTCACAAGCCACGGTTCATATTTTGATTTAAAGCAGGCATTGAGTAATTGAAAAGATTTGGGAAAATCAGGGTGGATGCTTCTGTGGCTATGTTTTGTTGGGGTTTTGTTGTTGTTGTTGTTGTTGTTGTTGTTGTTTTGTCTTGTTTTTTTGAGATGGAGTCTTGCTCTGTTGCCCGGGCTGAAGTGCAATGGCATGATCTCGGCTTACTGCAACCTCCATCTCCCGGGTTCAAGCGATTCTCCTGACTCAGCCTCCCAAGTAGGTGGGATTACAGATGCCCGGCTAATTTTTTGTATTTTTAGTAGAGACAGGGTTTCACCATGTTGGCCAGGCTGGTCTCGAACTCCTGACCTCATGATCTGCCCACCTCAGCCTCCTAAAGTGCTAGGATTATAGGCTGTTGTTCGTTTTTCTCACCAGTTACCAACACTAACTTCCACATTGTATCATAAAAAAAGAAATTTGCCCTACAAACCAAACCCCAACTGTAAGGTGCAAGGCCAGATTTAATTGATATTTGCAAGGCTCAAAGGTGTTACCAGAGTGTCTCTGATTACTCCCTGCTTGTCACATTCGTCATCACAAGCAGAGCAGATTTCTCAAATGAATGCGGAGTGGAGATTGTTAATTTACTAATATTTTGCATGGAGGTGAAATGCCATTGCCTCTAATTGAAGGAGTCAATAACAATGTGGATGACAGCCTGTAACCTCACTGCTAAAACCAAATGAGCTTTAAGATAAATGCTTCTAATTACTGAGATAAAACTTGCCTAGTAAAGTCACCTTTTGGAAAGCAATGAACGCAAACACAGGCTAAGCTCTGGGGAATGTAATTTGAAAAAATTGTCTGACAAAGAAGCAAAACACGTGTCCTCTTTTAGAACCTGGATCATAGTTTACTGCTGGAATTAAAATATATTTGGTGACACTTCTGCTTTTAAAGATGAGTTAAATAATAAAAATGGTCATTTATATTAATAATAAGCATGTTAAGATTTTAATAAAAATCTGGGGATTAATAGATAAAACCCAAATATTTCCTTTTCTCTGTAGTTTTTTTTCCCTTTTCTCCTACCTGCCCCTCCTAATTCATTCATTTACTCATTCAGTAAATATTTACTGAAAACCAGGATACTCTGCTAGGGGACAGGGGTGCAGAGCTAAGTAAACAAAGGGTAAGGATCTTTATTTTGACACTGACATATTGCAGGCACCTAGAACAGTACCTGCTCACTATATAGTAAGCTCCAGGAAATGAACAGAGCTTGCAGCATGTGAAGAAAGAGATTAAACAATCAGTTATTAAGTGTGATGACTGTTGAGTTATTATATGTGATAATTGTGATGAATTATTAAGTGCAAAAATGTGCAGGGTGTCCTCACATATGTCATGCACTGTTTTAGGGATTGGAATTCCCTGTGGTGAATAGAACATACTGTCTCCACACTCCAATAGCATTAATCACTTATCTCTGCACAGAGTTCTTAAGGGCCACAGAGACCATGTCCCTGTTTAGTACAGTTGAGAAACTTCATGTTGGTACTCCTCTTCTCTGGGGGTTTGGTGTCTGCATCCTGTCACTTGGAATCTCAGTTCCATTGCCATTTAATAATTTCATGATCCCCTACAAGGTACTAGCCTCTAGGACTCGATCTCTCTATTTGTAAATTGGAGACAGTGTTACCTACCTCATAATATTGTTGTGTGGGTGAAATGAGAGAATATACATAACATGGTAGATGATGGTAATGCAGAGGGCGTGTTTTAAGATGCTCCATGCAGCCGCTTTGCCTGATTCAGATTCCAGCTGCACCACCTACCACCTGTGTGACTTCCTGCAGGTTACTTATCTGCTCTGCAACTCATATGCCTTACCTGTAAAATAGGTATAATCATCAATCCTACCTCAGCGTGATTGTGAGGATTAAATGGATGTCAAGAGCTTAAAATGGTGTCTAGAATGTTGTAAGGGTAAATGACATGATTGATAGTCTTGTACAGTTTTTATATTTCTTCGTCTCTCTTCCTTCCCCAACAAATGCTCATCTTTTAGAACCTACAGTAACCACTAGCAATTCTGTGCTCTTTGAGGGAACTCTGTTGCCTTTTCTCCAATACATAGGTTATTGAAGAAATCCAAAATGAATAGGTTGTAAAAACTTTAGACATAATTCACCTTTTTCTTTAAAGGTGTCTATTAATCAGTTATAAGTTTGACTCAGTGTCTCCTTTAGCTTCTATATTGTCTGTGTAATCAAGCTATATAATGGCAGTGTCTGTATAGTAACAGACGTCATTCCACTCTTTTTTCTTGTTTACTTCATTGACTACATCTGTTGGCAGATTTGACTAGAGAACAAACCCAGTGTAAAGAGAAAACCTAATCAGATTAGCCAAGAAAAACATGCTGTTGCTTGAATACTGTATCTTACTGACATAGTTCCCATTACATGAACTTCTTCATTTTTATTCTTGTATTATACATGTCCATGTGCAGTCATGTGTGCAAGTATGAATGAAAATAATATGAAATCATAAGGCTGGTATGTTAAAGACTACTTCATAGAATTTTCTCAGACATATTTATATGTTGTCTTTAACTTACCGTGAGGTCGGATATAATTCCTCAATACATCTTTTACTGCTTTATGCTTGTAATTAAAGATTAGGAGGCTGTGAGTTCCCAATGTTTGTCAGAAGATTTTTCTGGTAGTTTAGGTATTGCTGGATCAAGGAAAGCTACTTTTAGTATTGCTGAGTAAGCTGTGTCTCTTGACATTTTAGAGCACTTGAACTTGAAACTGTGTAACTCTTGAATAATAATTTCCCTTTTATAGATTTTTAAAGTTCCAATAAAATGTGTGTTTCATGATCATTTTTAATCTTTCTTGTAAAAGTTTTTTTTCAACTGGTCTTCATTTCAATCAGTCTCACCAAGTTGGAACACTTTTTTTCTTTTTTTTAGTTTATATTTTTTGTACATGAATAAGTTATTTAGTGGTTATTTCTGAGATTTTAGTATGCCCATCAGCTGAGCAGTATTTACTGTACCCAATGTGTAGTCTTTGATCCCTCATCCCTCTCAGGAACCCTTTTTTAAGAAGCAGAATTAATTAAGACAGGTCAAGTTTTTGTAAGTTTGATGAACTTTTTAAAAAATATATGCAATTTTGTTTATTTTTAAAGAAAAAGATCTTCTTAAATTGTGCAAAAAGAAAAGTTCAGATGCAATGTATATGTTATTTTTCCAAAATGCATTCAAAACTCTTTGCCATTAAATGTTCTATTCAGCCAGAAAAACACGGAATTCACCAGGGAAATGGATATACACTTATGTGCATTAAACAAATACTACTGAATATTGGTAATAATCATTAAAATCCATATTTAGCTTTAGACTGTGAAGTAAACAAATGGTCATTTTCCTTTTGGACTTTTTGTAGGAGTATAACTTGAAATCAGAGGTAAGCTGTGGTAACAGGAGGTATGAAGAGGCCTACTAATTCATACCCAGGTTTACCAACTAAATCTCTTCAGCCAGGAAAGGCAGAGGCTGAAAAAAGGTTAAAATCAGGATTATTTATTGTTCACCTCCTGGGAAGTGGTCGAGGAATGTGAGGAGGGCTACAATGGCATTTAACAAGGCTGTATAGACCAATGATTCCCTAATTTTAGTACTTACTAGGCCAGAAAAAAAAAATATTTTTTAAGTAGGGGCAAGATGGCTTTTCAATTTTACAAAGTGAAAGCATTAGAAGAAAACTCCCAATACTTGCCTTATTTTTCTAAT